TAGCGCGCACACTCTTTCAGGGCATTACGTCCACAGTTTTCAGATGCTTACCCAATCATGAGCTCCACGAGCCTCGCTCAGACCGTAGGTGAGACCTGAGTACAATCCTGCAGCTAGACCTGCAGCCATGGACACATGCTTGCTTGCTTATGTCTCAAGAAAACGAAATAGAGTGCCTGAAAAGCTCGAGCTCATATACTCACCCCATTGCATAGATTCTTTCCCTGTGTTCTTCACCTGCCAACCACAGTTACAGACAGCAAGAGGGTTAACGCAAGAACATTGGAATTGAGTTCATCTCTTCCTAAGGTTGCTTGCTTTCAGACTCCACAGACATGCAGAATCACACAAACAAATCGTTGTTTTCCTGAGTTTCGATAGCGATTTTCTATGAAACCTTCCAGAATTAAAACAAAAAAACTCACCAATGCTTCAAGGGATTTAGTGCTGCTTTCTCCTGAAAAAACGGATCAAGAACATGATAAATACGAGAATGGCGGTGTACGTATATTCCTTTTTTTTTGGGGGGAAGTATATTGCTACCATTGAGATTAGGGAAACGATTTTTCTTGGAAGCCGACACTTCCGATGGAGGCGGGACACTGGAATCGAGTCCTGTCCCTGAATCAACATCCGCTTTTCAAATTAGTTAGCTGACCAATTATGGCATATTTTCGCGGCGTATCTCTCGCCGGAATATACCTTCGAAGACCGTGGAATAAGCTTCCCTCGACACGGCCTGCGCAGCTCCGATCTTCAAAAACCCCACAACCAACAACATACTTACAGTTCATACAACAATCTATATATACACATATATGGGTAAACATCATGATTATATATATACGGTTTGGGAATACATGGCGAATGAAATTATAGGGAAAGTAAGAAACTGACGCCGGCGGCTTTGACGAAGGAGTCGGCGATGCGATCGAGGAGAGGGTGGCCCAAATCGAACAGTGGAAGCTTCTCGAACCTTCTAATCTCATCCATCACCTTTCTTCCACTGCCCTTCTCCATTTTCTTGTTCTTTTTGTTTCTTCTTTCGAAGACGCCCTCTTCTGTTTATAAATGAGAGAGAAGAATAGGCCGAGGTTCCCGACACGTGTCGGAACCTGCCTCTTTGAACTGGTCGTCATAGGTTACCTTGCCACGTGGCTCTTCTCTCCACGATCGGAGCCCTCTTATTCTGCCTGAAGTTAAGCGGGGGGATTTTAATTTAAATAAAAAAAAATGACAAAATATAAAAAAGGTTATCCGTTTTCTAGCTTTGCATTTCTTTCTCATATGAAGTTATGATAAAAAAAATATGTGACAAGATATTTGATTTATGGACCTCTCTGGACCCGTAACAATGGTGATGGATGGAAATCCGTGTGATCACTCATGCATTGAGCTTATCGATTAAAAGATGTATCGCATTTGCACCATGAATGACTCAAAACAGACATTTAAATAAGGTTTATAAAAAGTCAATTGTCATTGACGAAAGTAAAATACTTTTTTTTTTTTTTTAATTTACAATACAAAGTCAATTGTCTTTCACACTCTCACCTCTCCATGGCCCTACTAGTATCATCATCATCATCATCAAGCTCTTGCAATCCATCATACTCCAGCTGCATCATCATGTTAAATATGTCAAGAATTACCCGATAATGCTTTGATTTTCCATACAATGAAATAACATACACACACACACATAAGGCTATAAATTATTCGTGTATATTATTAAATCTCAACTAAACCAGATTATTAAATCCTATCACGAGACTAATATATCTCTAGAGCGTGAAGATCAAGAAAACCCAATTTGGGAATACTATACTGTCATCCAAAATCACACAACATAAAAAGTTGAAATATATATATATATATATGTATATGTATATGTAATATTGCATACTCTGACCTGAGCTTCTTCATGAGCAAGTTTCATCCGCCTGTAGTCCTGCTGAGCCTTCTTAGAACGGAACATGGCTTGAACTCTGACAACTGACCTCTCTAACCGATCCTCCGCCTGTCTTTGGCTCGTCTTGTAGAAATCCTCTTCTTCTGTCTCTCCCTCGTCCTCGTTGATCGTTATCGCGCTCACTTGCATTCCCCGGAACCCTTTTCTCTTCAGCCTCCACCTCAGTATCGCCTTCTCCAGCACTCCCACCGACCATACTATCTTCCTGTACTGCCTCCTTACTTGGAATCCCCTGAAAGCAGCCTACATTTTGACAAAAGACCGGCCGATTTCCATTCAGACAGTGACATTGTCTCCATATGTTGCCAAATCACAGTGTGATTCTCTATTCTCTAATCACACTCAGCTTCTCAGAAAGAAAGAAAGAAAACCCCCGGGTTTTTTTTCTGTGTTTTCAATCTCAACTAGACATAGACAAACCATGAATTCAGACATAGTCCTATCGCTGAATGAATGATCTATTGTTCTCTTAGTTTTGCCTACCTAGTCGTCGAAAACTGGACCCAACAAAAAAAATGCTCAGATAATTGTGTACCTGGATCTTGATTACTTGGCGCCTCATGTTTAGAAATTCTCGTCGCATTTTCCATGTATGGAACCTGTACTGAATCCGAACAGCTGCAGCCATCTTCTTACGTGTGTCATGATTGCGGAATGCATGCTGAATTTTCATCGCAGCTATTATGCTCTGCGCCTCTTCTTCCCGGCTGCCAAACTGAACTGCCTTAGACCGCACGTTCAAGGCATGCTCCCTGAACGCAACCTGAATGCGAGAGGCTGCCTCTGCGGCCGTTCTATAAGCAGTCAGAGTATCCTTCAGACTCTGCTCCTCCTCTGTGAGTGTCCCCGGGTTCGAAGCCTCCGCCTTGCAGGTCTCCAGGTTTCCACTGATGTTTCCAGCAATTTTCATGTCCTTGAATTGTGCAACCAAACACTTCTCGGAAAGATAAGCAGCTAAACCGTCATAGCCCTTCTGCTGTGCAAGATCGGCTGCAGTGCAGCCGTCGACATTTTTCTTAGTCGGGTCTGTCACAAGGTTTGGCCTTGCCCCAGCAGAGAGAAGAGCAGCTACCATTTTTTCCCTTCAAATGGAGATAAACCCATTAAAACCCTTTGAGAGAGAAAAATCGAAGACAAGAAGTCAACTACAATTTCAAAAGGATGTAAGGTAGTTTACCTCCCATAGTATGCTGCCCAGTGAAGAGCCGTCCATCCAAGTTTATCACGGAAATTTAATGATAAACCTGACCAGGAGAAAAGGTGGATCGACCAAGTGTATCCAAGGATGGCACAGAGGTGGATCACTCCAAGACCTTTAGAGTCATATTCCGTAATTTTGCCACCTTCAAGCACTTTCTCCAAAAGCCATTCCTTTAGCCTGTTCTTCAGAGTAAGCTCGAACAGGTTGTCCTTTGCTTGCTCAAACGAGAGTTGATTTCCCTGTACAGACTTCACCAGATATGCCCAGCTGTTTAGGAGGTGCGAAGTTTTGTTAACAAATTTCTTAGCTTCTTGAATGCTGCCGGCCGAGACTTCGCTCGACAAAATGTTGACCTTGTTAGAAGAAGTGAATAGCAGATGAGCGAGTCTGACTTGGAACTCAAATTCTTCCCATCTGGATGACACATTGTCTTGAGTGATGGACTTCTCTGGAACTGCAGCCGAGCGGCACTCAAAGCTGAAAAACTGGCTGATGGGCTTTTGGCCGTCATCACTCAGATAAAGGTTCACTATCGCAGGAGATTGAGGAGGTAGGAAGCAACGGTACACCCCAACCTGGATAATTTCAGCGGGGACACATGTCTCACCACAAATGCAGAAAAGATTTGATCTTGCCTGATGCTGGTAGCCATCGTGAAAGAACCCAGTAACAAGAATCTACAAAAATCACACGCAAGGATTAGATTTTATATGCAAGATTTAATCTGAAAAATCAAACAGAGATTAAACTTCAAGAGTTATGCTTGTCTATTAAATCTGATCATACATTTCCATCATGAATGTACCCTAAAAATATTCCGTAGGTTAATAATATTATATTCCACAGCACGAATTAGAGATGAAAGTACCACCTGTTAGTCAAACACAAGATGGCATTTTAGAGGTTTGGTTGCTAGATGGAAAAAATAGCCGAAACTGATACTTGAAAGGCACAATAGTATGAAAGGTTAATCGGAGAACCTTTGTTTTCTCTGTCGAAAAGGCCCAGGCAGGTGAAACATCAGTTATACTGAATATTTGCTCCGGCATGTTAGATTGATGATGATACGCAGCGGGAGAAGTTAATGAATCTTGCCCAGGTGAAAGAGTGGATTCATGGGAAGGATCGTCCACCGACCCAGGAGAGTCACTGATAAAGGCATTCATCCACCTTCCAAAGCTCTCCTGACTTTGCAAACCGTTGTTAAGCAACGCATCAACGGATTCACCAGCAACTGCTGCACTAGGGTCCCTGTTCTGTAGACCAGGATCTACTCCACAATGCACTTGTTGACTAGAAAATCTTCCCGGATCACATAGATTGTTATTTTGATAACTGGGCTCTCCAAGACAAGGAAATGACTGTACATCTGTTGATGCATTGTAGCTTGCAAGGTGATTTCCCTGCAAATTAACCACAAATGGTTGTCTTATTTATAGTAACAGGCAAACATGACGAATTGGTTGGTGAACTAAATAATAAGCAAAATCTCTTTTACTCACTATTGCTTTCAAAGCACAACACTTATTGATCAAAAGAACAATGAAAACAGAACTCATCTTCAAGTAAGCTGCAGATGCACTATTAATTTCATGAACCAAAAAAGCAAAAAATTTGTTGACAATGAAAAATGTATTTTTTTTCATAGAAATTTGACGAACACAAAGAAACAAATGCAGACCAAAGCATGAGTTTCACTCACATTCTTTGCAGAGCCATTTGCTGCATTTTGGAGCGTTTGTGTAAGGTATGACATATCATCTGCCCACACAGAAAAAATGAAAATAAAAGAGACATAATTATTTTTAAGGTCGTCCAATTTCTCTGTTTCTGCAGAGACCCGTGCTATTTGTGTCAATGCTTTATAAGCTCAATTCTTAGTACCTACTGTAGGCGCAGGTGGGCTGTTATCATCGTTTGGCACTAGAAGCTCATCCCACTCAAGTGTATTAATCTCGTGAAGCCTAATCTCATGATTTTGGGCAATCGGATCATTGCGTTCTGCTAAACACCAAAAAAATACAATACAAGACCAACATTTTATAATTTTAAAATTGATATTACAAAACATAAAGGGAACCCCTCCTCCGATTCTTTCTTTCCTCTTAACATGCTTGGAAAATCTAACAGCAAATCTATAATAGTGATGGCAACATACATTGATAGTATATTATAGTTCTCAAGATCTCCAAGAGATTTCTTTCTCACCTACATAACGTGCATTACCAACACCAGAATCAATATCTCCAGCTACACATGTTGGAGATGAATGGTCAGAAATTGAACTTGTGTTCCCAGGAGTTGCGGGAGATGTCTGAACCTGTTTTACCAATCAAAATTACACAGACAGGTGAGAATGGATACTCCCCATTCTTCTCATAAGCTACCAAACAGACAACTGTGAGTCATGGAGAAAAAGAGATAAAAGATCCGAATTGTCCACCACTGATGACAATTATGAAGCTTGATAAAGAAATACATCAACACTGTTCCATTAACACTACTAGCATTTGAAATATCAGCCAACGCTGGAGAAAAGTGGAAAAACAAACCTCTTGTGTCTCGCGATAATGGACGAGGACTATATGCTCTAGAGTCCTGACATAAAAGTAAGAAATAATTTACTGTTCTGACAACCTTTAAAAAACATAGGAAAGAGGGACACACTCTACTTCTCAAAACAACATATTGATGACAAGTAAATGGTTTTGGGAGGCTACATACTTATCCAGCAGCCAATAACACCTGCGAACAAAGGTCGGGTTATCTTCACCATGTGCATAGTATACATGAATCCTTTCTTCATTACCAACCTGGACAGGAGGAAAAGGAATACAGAGAGCATAAAGTGACATAAATTAGCTGTAAAAGAGAAATTCACGTATAAACCTTGAGCGATTGTAGAAAACCTCACTTTTAGGTGCTCATGAGCTTCTTTAACCGTCTTTCCATCCTTTTTCTTCTTCCAGTTATGACCATCCTTTCTGAAGTTCCTCAACATCTTACGATCAAACAACACAATTGTACCACCTGCCAAATAAGAACATGTTACAGTTTGACCGAACAGGTGTTTGAATACAAATATGCCAAAGTTAAAATTTCTAACTCGTCCAACACCGATTGAAGGATTCTAACAACAGAGGAGGGAAAATGCCATAGAAACGGCACAAAAATTCAAGCAGACTGAAAATTAAATCTAGAATTATGGGTGGTCATTTTGCAGAGGGACAGAGGACATTACTTTTTGGCAAGTTCATAGGCTTGACATTGATGCAGAAGTATTTATGGTTACAGAGGACTGCATGGATCTCGTTTGGCCGGAGCCACCTGCCTTTTGCTTCCTCCAACATTGTTGGAACATCCAAATCTGCAAACACAAACAGAACAGCCATTGTCACGGCCGAAAGCTAGGACTAGGATTGACCGCAAATTCACATCTCCCACTACGCATATCAAAAGCTTTCATATTGAAATGAAGAGACAGGCATATCCAACTACACACAAAGAGAAAGATTTGGGCACAGACAGGGAATTTCTTCATTGAGCATGGTGCGACATTAAACCTTCCCTTCCCTCTCCCTGAATCTTGCCCAGAATACCCATTTCTTACAACATTTGTAAGCTTCCTCAGGAAATTACACCTTATCTTCCCTTCTAATACAACATATTTCACTTTAATGAAGAATAACCTCCGAATATATCAAGAAAGGCTCATCACCAACTCGACCACCGATCTCTGCAGGTGCATGCAATTTCTTTTTTTATCTAAATTCGCCTACATCTAACCACAAAGCATAATAATCTTAATTTGCACATTATAAATTCCATCTCAATATCTCCCGAGGAACGAAAACAGCAAAAAATCCCTAAACCCGTAAATAATTGGCAAAACCACATTGAAAAAATCCCTAGAAAAAGCTATCATCGTACGAATTAAAAAAATAAAAACAGTCAACTGATTCGCAGAAATCGACATGAATGATTCTCGAGACAGAACCTTGCAAGGTATGGAATCCATGAATATCAGAGCCGACAAGCCTTCCGGAACCTGCGCCGTCCATCCCCGATTCAGACACAACCGATGAAAACGGTTTTTCCGCGCCCGATACAGAATCCCGAAGAACCCTAAAGGGCTAAATCACAGCTCGGGAGAGGATTGGAAAAAAAAAAAAAAGGTCATCAGGTCAAAGGTTTCGTCGAAAACCGAATGAGAGAGAGAGAAAACAAGCTCAGCTGGTCGAAGGAATTATCAGAGCAAAGGAGAGAAGTTTGGATTATGAGATTTTCCACTAAATTTAACTGAGAATTCTACGAATTTGCGAGTACGAAAATGTCCGATGAAAAGCCATTTTGACTATTCCCCCAAAATAATTTGTTGTACTATTTTGCATAAAACCCCAAATATTTCTAATTTGACAACCACATCCCAGATTTTTATAAAAAAAAAAAATCATCCTGCACGTTCTAATTGCAAAGAAATTTAATACAGCGCATATATTTGCATACTGGTTATGCCCAAAAAAAAATTAACACACTTGTCATATTTATCACAAGTGCCTTTTTAGATACCGGTAGGATGGACATTTTGGTACTCCGTTTGAGTTCGGTTTGAAAATAGTTCAGTTCGGTTTTATAAAATATATATTAATCGGTTATTATATCATATTTGGTTCGGTTCGGTGTTTCCGGTTTATTAAACAATTTTAGATATTTTTAAGAAATTTTCGGTTTTTCAGATTTTTTAAAGTTCGGTTCATTTTAAAAAAAAAATCAATTCTTTAAAAATAACATCGTTTAAAAATTTTGTATTTTGTATAGTTCAAATTAAAAAAATATTATATTTTTTATTGGGTTCTAAAACGTCCACAAGTGGATATGAGTAGGAATGTCAAAACGAGTCGAGCTTGTGAGTCGGCTCGAGATTGACTCATTTTTTTACCGAGTCGAGCCAAAAATATCTGAACCAAAATAAAAATAAGTTGAGTAAGCCAGTTCGCCACGAGCTGAGCCTAAACGAGCTAGCTCGGCTGGCTCGAGAGCTGGAGTAAAAAAAAATCTTACATTGAAACTTGAAAAGTGTTGATATTGTTGGTATGATATTTTGATTTAGAGATGATTTTTTACATATGGATTCGGATCTGAAAATGATTTTTGTACATGGATTATGATCTAATTGTACATAGATGGATTAGGATCTGAAAATAGTTTTTTGTACATGGATGGATTGTGATTTTATCTATTTGAAGATGATTTTTTGTATATCGATTGTGATTATGAATATAAGTATGATTTGGATGTATTGGTATATTCTTTTTATGTTTGATGTATCATTTGGATATAATTTTATATAATTTGATATGATTTTTTTAGGTATTTAGAAAAATATAAGTCGATTCGGGAGTCGGTTCACGAGCTAAGCGACTTGGATTGAGCCAAAAATTTTCTAGTCCAAATAAAAATAGGTTTAACAAGTTGGATTAAAAATGAACTGGTTCGAAATGAGCTGGTCCGAACCAATCCGAGCTTGACATCCCTAGATATGGGTACTAATTAGTAAAATCTAAAAGGTAAAGGTACAAATCTTGAGAGAATAGAAAAATCAGCCAAATTGAATAACCCCAACTAAAAAAACAAGTCAAAAGAAAATCCGACCAATCGTACACTTCCGCGTCTATATGATTTGACTGATTGGACACATCATTTTTGTGGACCCCACTTTTGAGACTTGACCTTCACAATATTTTATATATATATATATATAATATGGTATTTATATATAAATTAGTGTATGAATAACTATTGGATGCGATAGACAGACATTTAAATCCTAGAGTACATCATTTTTAGATGAAAAAAATGGGAAGGTTAGAAATCGGCAACTAGCTATTTAAATAATTATTGTTATCACTTTGAAGTATAGTGCTACTTTTAAAATTAATACTTTTTGGAGAATGTCACGATCAAATTATCCATCATCTATTATAAAAATAAGAGTGTGAACTACACCTTGATCCAATTTAAAAGTTTAATAATATAATGTCATTTAAACTTTTCAAGGATATGCATATCCTAACACGAATCATCATGATTCATGAGGAACCAAATATTTGTTACGTTGATTCTTTATTTAAATATATGATATACCTACCGTAACAAATATAATTAGTTCCTCTTGAATCATATGATGTTTTTGTTAGGGTAAAACCTCTAATAAACCTTAAATTTGCAAAAATATATACAAATAAACCTTCAACTTGAAAAACTATCATTCAATCTCCGAACTTATAATTTGTCACTGAATAAAACTTCGAACTTGCAAATTATTGTTCTAATAAACCTTTGACCGATTTGACCACAATTTCAAACGATCAGAAATCCACGTATTGACGGATTACTGATGTCATTTTTTTAATTAAAATTGATAACGTGTATAAGGTGACATCAGCAATTCGTTAATACGTGGATTTCCGATCGTATGAAATTGTGGTCAAACCGGTCAAAGGTTTATTAGAGCAATAATTTGCAAGTTCGATGTTTTATTCAATGACAAATTACAAATTCGGAGATTGAATGATAATTTTTCAAATTGAATGTTTATTTGTATATATTTTTGCAAGTGAAGTTTTTTAGGGTTTTATCCTTTTTTTGTTATGATTCCAATACATACAAAGAGAGTTCATGCACAAGTGTTACACGTGCGTTCGTCTCTTAATCATATACTCAAATAGTTTAAACAGAAGAACCTCGATTTTATAAAATAAATAAATAAATAAATAAAATACATCGATATTTTGTCATAGTCCATTGAATAATTATATTGTTTTTGGAAAAGACCACCAACAAATTCTCTATTTGTATACCATAATAAACGAAGAATAATGATATTTTCACATAAAAATCCAACTAGACAATGAAATTTACGGTGGAGAAGGAGGGAGGGATCCACGTAATAAAGTTTGGATTGAATAAACAGATTCAATGAATCCCGAATTTAATTCATGGATTAATTATGAAACGACCTATATTAGCCCCAACCAATTGGTCCAAACCGCTGCATTTATTCGTATTTAATACCGTTAAATTAAAGAAAAAGCTTTTATTCAAATTAACGATAAACCCTAAACTCTAAACCCTAAACCATTATTATTATTATTATTATTATTATTATTGTTGTTGTTAAGTCCAGAATTTGAGTTGAAGTTGATGGTATGCGAAACAAGAAGTTGTATATGATGATATCTAGTAGCATATCTAGAAAAAATTATAATTGAGGGCAATAGTAAGAGTAAATTTAATTTGATTAGTAGCATTTAACAATTTTAATTACAATTTGTAAAGAAAATAAAATTTTCTAAATAAAAAAATGGGTTTACAAACCGTAGGAGTGCAGTACCAAAAAAAAAAAGGTGTGATTAAGCCATATAGTTATAACGAATAATTGCACGCACCAGCCAAAAGCCTGTGAACCATGTTTTAAGCAAATGGACCTCCGTTATTATTCCATGTCCTTCAATTTATCTTAACCCATTTCAAAATATTATTAACGAAACTTATCATATCAGACGTGTGAATCAATATATATATATATATATATATATATATATATATATATATATA